ATTAAATATTATTAGTTAATAATTTTTTGTTAATTTAATTTTATTTATTACTTTTTTCAGTTTTAACACATTCACAATTTATATACACATTTTTTTTCTATCCCCTAAAATCCCCCTTTTTCACCCACCCTCTGGCAGATCTAGCATTGCACGTCAAACCTGCCAAGAAGCTCGTTTATTTTCTCTGTTCAGTGTTTTGACAGGGTGTAATCATCTCCATATCTCTGTTTGTGTACTCTTTCAGAAAGCGCCTCGTGTCCTCTAAGAGGAAGTGATGTCACGACACCACCACCGCTTCGAGAGGGACTATCGGGGGCCATGGGAGCGTCGCGAGCGTCCCAGCGGCCTCCACAATGGCGGATGTTCCCCAGCAGCACCTCCACCAGTGGCTAACGGTAATAACCGTCCGGGACTCCTTCCTCTGCCAGTGATCCCATCTCTCCTGCCCACACCAGTGACCATTGCAGTGACAACAGCCAGCAACGAACTCAATCTTAAACGCTCCGCTTCATCAGCGGCCACACCTGTTGTTAAGGTAAATTTGCTTTTAAATCAGGGGCTGATTTAACCAATAAGTAAAGCAGGCAGCCATTTTGGGCCCTGGGAAATTTGGGGGCCCTAATAAATCAACAATTGTTTATTAATAACTTTTAAATTCCTTAATTTCACATTCTTGAATATAAACACAAACATTTCGGCTCAAGACCTTTCTCGATGTGTGACACTGACAGTGATGCCCTGAGAAAGCCTTTGTGCTAAAACATTTATGAAAACAATTATACTGTTTACAAGACTAAAGCAGCAAAAACTGTTTATAAGAGTGATATAAGATAAATAATTAAATAAATAAATACACAAAACAAACAAACAAACAGAAAATGATAAAACATAGAAAAGGAGATTGAGTGATATGAAATAAATAAATAAATAAATAAATAAATAAATAAATAAATAATAATAACTAAATAGTTAAATAAACAAACAGAAAAGGATAAAACAGAAAAGGAGGTTGAGTAATATAGGATAAATAAATAAATAAATAAATAAATAAATAAATAAATAAATAAAAATTAAATAAATAAATCAATAAAAAAAATAAATAAAAATTAAATAGTTAAATAAACAAACAGAAAAAGATAAAACATAGAAAATGAGATTGAGTGATATAACATAAATAAATAAATAAATAAATAAATAAATAAATAAATAAATAAATAAATAAATAAGCAGAAAAGGATAAAGCATAGAAAAGGAGATTGAGTGATATAACATAAATAAATAAATAAATAAATAAATAAATAAATAAATAAATAAATAAATAAACAGAAGAGGATAAAACAGAAAAGGAGATTGAGTGATATAACATAAATAAATAAATAAATAAATAAATAAATAAATAAATAAATAAATAAATAAATAAATAAATAGATAAATAGATAAATAAATAAATAAATAAATAAATAAATAAATAAACAGAAAATGATAAAACATAGAAGAGGAGACTGAGTGACATATGAAAAAATTAATCTAAATAAATAAATAATTAAAGAAAACAGAAAAGAATAAAACATGGAAAAGAAGATTGAGTGATATGAGAAAAAAATAAATAAAAAGAAAGAAAGAAAGAAAGAAAAGAAAACAGAAAACAATAAAAGAGAAAAGATATAATAATAAAAATAGATAAATAATAAAAAATAAATAATTAAATATGATATATATATAAATCAATAATGGTGCATTTTAGGATTGTTGTGTCCCATGGCTGGATTTGCTTAGGGCGCCCAAATCACTAAATCCGCCCCTGATCCAAATCGCACTTTTTTTTCTTACTTTTTCATTTGGGCTCACTTTGCCAGATCACTTTATTTGGTCCTCGCTCCTCTTCTCCTCGCTAATTTTCTCTTTCATTATGCAAATGAGGAACTCCTAGCACTGGACCTGAATTAAGCTCGTTGTGGAGTCTGTTGTGGGCAAGAAATAAAAGGGTGTCAGCTTTTGCTGTTAGAGTGGAGATGAATGGCATTCTGCTGAATTAGTTGAAGGAAGGAAAAAAGCAAAGAAAAACTCCTCTTCATGCCGTTTAATCAGATTAGCTTCTGTTTCACTACGATTTCATGCGCGGAGACGGTTCACTATCTAGTTGCCATGCGGCTCTTGCAGCCCACGCTTTGCTAATGCATTGACTGACATGACCTTTGTTTCCAATATTTTGAAGGTATTGTTGGGTAGAGATCATACGGGGTCTGTTTACTGTGTTTACTGTGCTGTTGGTGGAGAGTATGGGTGACAGTCCTGTATGGTTCAGCTTCTGATCGACCTATAAATTCGTAATTATTGTATGATGTCTTAATTATGATGACAGACATAATATTATTATTATTATTATTATTATTATTATTATTATTATTATTATTATGCGCTTTATTTGTCCTATTATTTATTTATTCTATGAATAAAATATTATTTTAATTTTATAAATATGTATTAATTTTT